ACAATTTTAAGTTTTGCTTTACATGAATTTTATTGTTGGCAATACTGTCAGTTGTTTTCTTTGAAATAACAAGAGTTCATTTATTTTCAAGAATATGTCTGCCAAATTTTCAAGTTTAAAATCCATAGTTTGTCTATCAGTTGTTCTTTAATGTAGAATGGTATCTCCATGAAAAAAGAGATTGATTCAGCTCACAACTCAGATGGTCTCACAAGTATTTTTCTCTGAGATAACCATTGTACTTTGGCATGCAGCATTTCATCAAATCAGACAATTAAAAAGATATTTATTTAAGGATTGAGATTTAATAAACATTGTTTTTAATGCTCACCCCCCAAAACTTTAAGTATATGGCAGTAAAGAATAAAATTTTATGCCATTGCCTTGATTTTGTATGGTGCCAATGTATATATATATATGCGTGTGTGTGTGTGTGTGTATATATATATATATATATTTTTTTTTAAGTCCTCACCTGAGGATATTTTTTCCATTGCTTTTCAGAGAAAGTAGAAGGGGGAGAGAGAGACATCAATGTGAGATAGACACATAGATTGGCTGCCTCTTGGCATGCACCCCGACTGGGGCCAGGGATTGAGCCTGCAACCAAGGTATGTGCCCTTGGCTGAAATCGGACTGGGGACCCTTCAGTCCGTGGGCTGACACTCTAACCACTGAGCCAAACTGGCCAGGGCTGGTGCCAATGTTTTTATCCACTATAGTTTTTATATTATAACTGCACTGTAAGTATCAACACATTGGTTCTAGGATAAACCATGAGATTCAAAAAAGTTACTCAACTTGGAGCATCAACTTGGATGCTCATCACTTATGTTTGTGGCCAAGAATTTACACACAACATCATCTTTGGTGATGAGTTGGTGCCAACACTAGATGAATATAAACAAAATAGCAAGTCTAGTCAGATCTGTAGATTTGTTTATTTGTAAAGCAAAATTACAAATTCCACAGAAGAAATCTTAACTCAGTTCTTCAAATCTGCAGCAAAATCTTTATCTTAATGAATTCCTATATCATTGAAAGGTAACACTGCCATGATTTACTTTACTGACTCTTCATCCAGCAGGCATGTAGCAATGCCAGCTGTACATGGTTGTGCTTCTCCAGTTAATGAGTACAGTAGCTTAACCAGGTGAGACACTTCATGCCTTTTTCACTTCTAGTTTAAAAAGCTCTAACAATTTTTAAAATTTTAAAGAAGTCATCACGCCCGGCTGGGCGTGGCTCAGCAGTTGAGCATCGACCTAGGATCCAGGCAACCAGGGTTCAATTCCCAATCAGGGCACATGCCCGGGTTATGGCCTTGATCCCCAGTTGGGGGTGTGCAGGAGGCAGCCGATCAATGACTCTCTTATCACTGATGTTTCTATCTCTCTCTCTTCCTCTCCTTTCTTCTCTCTGAAATCAATAAAGATATATTAAAAATAAAGAAAGAAGTCATCACATCTGTGTCTTAAATATTCAGTTCCTTTCCCTTTAAATTCTGAACGATTGGTCTTAAAATGTCATGGTAACTTACTGGCACAATATAATTAGAAAATATTCTGTTGCTTAAGATGCAGTAAGATAGCCCCGGGCAGGCGTGGCTCAGCGGTTGAGCGTTGACCTACGATCCAGGCGATCAGGGTTTGATCCCCGGTCAGGGCACATGCCCAGGTTGCAGGCTTGATCAATGACTCTCTCATCATTGATGTTTCTATCTCTCTCTCTCCTCCTTTCCTCTCTCTGAAATCAATAAAGATATATTAAAAAATAATAATAATAAAATACAGATTCTTAAAAAAAAAGAAAAAAAAAGATGCAGTAAGGTAAATTATTAAGCATAAACTCAGGAGAAAGATGGCTTTTGTCATATTTTGGTTTCTTATTTATAATTTTGCCCAGTTTCTTTGGAGTAGATTCTTTCTTTCCACGAGTCAGATAACTTCAGGCCAGTTGCATTATTTTTAGAACTTCAGATGGATACATTGCATTTGTGGGTTGAAAAAGAGAGTTTTCTAAACTTCTTTTCGAGCCAGTGATTCATTTTTAAATATAAGAGAAAAATTACAAATCTTTTATTTTAGAAAATGTTAAAATAAAACAATACATTTTAGATATAACTTAAAAATTGAGTAAAGTTAAAAAAAATTTTTTTTTAAATATGTTTTTATTGATTTCAGAGAGAGGAAGGGAGATGGAGAAAGAGAAACATCTATGAGAGAGAAACATCTCTCAGCTGCCCCCTGCATGTCCCTCACTGGGGATTGAGCCTGCAACCTCCACATGTGCCCTGACTGGCAATGGAACCAGCAACCTTTTGGTGCATGAGACTATGTTCAACCAACTGAGTGCACCAGCCAGGCTCAAAAAAATTTTTTTAATATTATATTGCAAAGCAAAGTAACAAAAAGTACTTGTTTCTACCAAGATGTGTGAAGAACTTAGAAATTTCACAGTAAAGATTTATTGGACAATAATAAGATTATAGAGATTATAGCAAGTATTACTAAGATTGCGAGGAAGAGTACAACAGAAAAATTGAGAAACAAAAATTTGAGAGATTAAATTATACCCTAAATCTCCCTTAGAAAATGCTGTAACACATAAGAACACAGACCCATATATTCCATTAGCCATCAAAGTGGTGATACTATCTCTTATAACGTGGTCTCGTAGACTCACGAAAGAACAAGAGTGAAAAGGCAAATAAATTTAGTGTTCTTATGAAATTAGTTTTTGCCTCATAGCCCAGGCCCTCAAAGGGCATTAGGGACCGTGAACTATGTTTTGCAAACTGCTGTTCTAGATTATTTCTTTTATACCTAGAGTTTCTACTACTATATGCTAGTGACACTGTCATTTGTATCCCAAGCCCAGACTGCACCACCAAGTGTTAGACTTGTATATCCAATGCCCGCTTCCTTAGCTTGGTGCTCTCTTACTCTTTCGCCTTTGAACATGCTATTTGTTCTGCCCCAGATTTTCTTGTTTCTTTTGTTAACCTAGAAAACGACTAAATTGTGAGCTTCTTGGGGGCAGGGACTGTGTGTTTTATATCCCCAAATTTTAGCAGAATGCCTTTCACTAGGCTGCTCTGTAAATGTTGAATGAAATTGAATCAAGGAAGAATTCTAGCCTCATGAACAATAAATTTGCAGTTCATCCCTGGATAAATTTTTTCTGCTTTATGTCTGACCTCATTCATTCCATATTGGTTTGTATTAGCTTCACTTTCAAAGAAAAGGATTTCATAATCTACCGGGACAGCCAATCCCTGTATATTAACTCACCCAACAGTTTGTTTTGTTTCCTTGTGCCTTGCCTAGGGAATAATGTATTCTGAAAGGAAGTATTTTGGGCTGGGATTCAACATCTTAATTTTTACGTCGTTCTCTTTGACCACTGAGGATATCACAAGACACTTAGCATCTGCTTCTCTCTATTAAAATCACCTGATTTTCCATCAGCACTAGTGGTGGAACAATTGTATACTATATAAAGTTTCTCTGAAGGAAGATGTTCTAACATCCATTTGGTAACTAACATTTTTTAAAAATATGTTACTGATTTCAGAGAGAGGAAGGGAGAGGGAGAGAGAGAGAAAACCAGTGATATGAGAGTCATTGATCAGCTGCCTCCTGCACGCCCCCTACTGGGGATTGAGCCTGCAACCCAGGCATGTGTCCTGACAGGGAATCGAACTGCGATCTCCTGGTTTATGGATTGACCCTGAACCACTGAGCCACGGCAGCTGAGCCTCATATATTTTTTACCTTGAGGAATTTGTGTTATAGCAGTAAAACACATCCTACTGTAAACCTTTGTCTAAAGAACTATTGGGGAATTTTTCCTCTGGCAGGAAGTTAATTTGAGGAGGACAACACATGGGTATTGAGGAAGAAAATGCCAACCTAGTCATTTTTGTTACATTAAGTAGACCTTGTCAGTAGAGGAGCAGGCTCGTGTTAGTGAATCAGTGAAGATGTGTGTAACACACACACATACCCCTATACTTTGTCTTTGAAACAGAGAACAGGAATGTGTGGAGGACTGGGTCAAGTGAAAGAGGAGACTGCAACAGTTTAAGTGAATTGCTCCCTTTCGAATACGTAAGGCTACTAAAAGCACAGAAAAGGAACAGAACTGTTTCTCTCCCTGAAGAAAACTGGGAACATTTTAAAGATGTGACTCTTTTCAACCTTTTCTTCTTATTTTCACTTTTTAAAAATAATTTAAACTTTTCCATATTATTCTCTTCACTGATTTGGGTAATCCTGTTGCTTTCAACCACAACACTTACTACAGTCAAGTGTAATATAAGGAATTTCTTTTGCTGGCTCTGTTCCTTTATTGGCATCTTTAGTCCTGAGCAGGATGCTTGACTGTCCCCCATCTTGGGAAGTCCCTCAGTACTAAACAAACAGGCAGCTGTCACCCTAATGCAGAGTGGGATGTGCTTGGGGTGGGGAGTGTCAGGAGGGAGGAAATCATGGGAATGAGAAGTCCTGAGTATGAAGAGAAGATTCTTTTCTTTTTGAATGTTTGCTATAGCTAAGAGAGTAGGAATATCAGTAATCCACTAACTTTGTGCTTAGTAGTGAATTAGAGATTAGTATTAAATGGACCCTGGTTTTTCATCCTGCATTCTTCAGTACCCATCCCAAAAGATAAGTTGGAAATAAGAGGAATGCCATAATGATCTGAGCCCTCCTTGAACATAGAAGAACATTCTGCCTTCAGTGGGTTTTGGTTCCAAGTACACTCCTTTTCCTGCTCTGGGTAACCTTGTTTTAGCAGGTGGAGATATGAACATTTTTACTTTCCAACTTTCCTTGCCTTTATGCAATTACAGACTACTTTAAACATTATTTTTCTGTATCTATAGCTAATACTTAGAGTAAGACTTCCTGTAACATACTTGGCAGATCAATTTTGTGTTTTACTTTGCCTTGGTGTCTTTCTCCCCTTAGACTTGTTCTTGGTTTCTTATCTTACAGAGAGGTGTGGGAAATGGAATTGGATAGACTCAAGAATCAGGATGGCGAAATAAATCAGAACATTATGGAAGAGACAGAACGGGCCTGGAAGGCGGAGGTGAGAAGAGTTGTTGCATTGAAGGCCTTGATTTTGGGCTTCCAGATGGTGTATCCTTTTGGTATAGTATTATACCACTAAGCCATATTGTACCATATAGCCACTAAGCATTTGTTTTAACTAAGCTTTGTATATGTAAAATTAATTATGTGTGTGTGGTTTTCTTAGATCTTATCACTAGAGAGTCGGAAAGAGTTACTGGTATTGAAGCTGGAAGAAGCCGAAAAAGAGGCAGAGCTGCACCTTACTTACCTCAAGTAGGTGTCGTCCCATTCTAGACTTTTAATGGTCCTGCAGTTTTGTGGGTGGTTGTTTTTTTTTTAAACCCTAAGCCACCTAGTCTGGCACTTACTTTATCATCACAGGAATTTCAAGGTCACCTCTGCCTGTGAAATAGTAATTTTTCGTGATTTCTCTTTCCATGTTCTAACTTCCTCATTCTCTAACTCTTCCTTTTGGCACTGTTATAGTTTTGTATTTTCTATTGTATTATTTCCAATTGTATAAACAGCATCTTTCATGCTGTCAAAGCATAACAAATATGTTTGGAGATTTGTTTCTTATGCAGTCATTTCTCCTTTTCTTGCCGTGGAATCTGGAGGACCCCTGTGGTATTTTTAGGCAGATGAGACCCCTGTCTCAGTAGTGGGTTCTCTTTCTCTGATACTTGGCTTAAAAGATGCTGGAGTTAAAGTGAGACAGACGACCTAGCTCTTTGGCCTTTCTCTTGCATCTGATTTGACCTCTTCTCTCCAGGTCCATTAGCCAGTACTGTGATGCTATCTCAGAGCGTTGGGAGTTAGGTTTTCTTTAATTCTGTAAATTCCTGTTGGTTTTTTGAAAGGTCAACTCCCCCAACACTAGACACAGTTCGTTCCAAACAGGAGTGGGAGACAAGGCTAAGTGGAGTTCGGATGATGAAAAAGAATGTTCGGGTAAGTGTAGTAATGGGGTCACTGATTCTGAGGTGACCTGCTTGAACACTGGTGATAGGCAGGGACCTTTGGCATTGCCCTTTAGAGCCATTCTACCCCTTTGTTTTCTTCATATTGGATGGTGGGTGCTGTCTTTCTGGGAGGCTCCCTCAGCTCGGCAGTAAAGGATCGTCCTTTCCTTTCACTCTCTCCTAGGACCAGTTTAACAGTCACATCCAGCTCGTGAGGAACGGTGCCAAGCTGAGCAGCCTTCCTCAGATCCCTACCCCCACCTTGCCTCCACCCCCATCGGAGGTAGGAATGCTGGTTTTGGGGAGTCAGCCTTTCTGTAACAGAACCAGTCTTTCACTTGTTCTTTTGAAGAAGATGCTGATTTTATTGTTATATTTTTATTGGTTATTATTGGTTATTAATGGTTTTATTTGCTGTAAGGGTTGCTCATTGGTTTCTTCTTTTCTCTTCTGTCTTCCACCTCTTCCCCTTTACAGACAGACTTCATGCTTCAGGTGTTTCAGCCCAGTCCCTCTCTGGTTCCTCGGATGCCCTTCTCCATTGGGCAGGTCACAATGCCCATGGTTATGCCCAGTGCAGACCCCCGTTCCTTGTCTTTCCCAATCCTGAACCCTGCCCTTTCCCAGCCCAATCAGCCTTCCCCACCCCTTCCTGGCTCCCATGGGAGAAATAGCCCTGGCTTGGGTTCCCTTGTTGGCTCCCATGGTCCACACATGCCCCCTGCCGCCTCCATCCCGCCTCCCCCAGGCTTGGGCGGTGTTAAGGCTTCTACTGAAACTCCCCGGCCCCAACCAGTAGACAAACTGGAGAAGATCCTGGAAAAGTTGCTGGCTCGGTTCCCACAATGCAATAAGTAAGCATCTTTAAGGACTAATAAAAAAAAAATTGTCAAGAGAAATTTAGGGGCTATAGGAAAGATTTTATGGATATTTCTTATGAGTGTAACCTAAAATATCTCTCCTTTTCTAGGGCCCAGATGACCAACATTCTTCAGCAAATCAAGACGGCACGTACCACCATGGCAGGCCTGACCATGGAGGAACTGATCCAGTTGGTAGCTGCACGACTGGCAGAGCATGAGCGAGTGGCAGCAAGTACTCAGGTAGGACAAGGTACTTGGGGGGAGCTCAGACCTGCTGAGATATTGGGAAAGAGGCAGTTTTCAGAAAAACGGGAGGGGAAGCAGCCTGCAGTGAGCGTACCTTGTCTGCTTCCTTTGCTGGCCTGGGATCTCAGTGATTTCTTTTGTTACATGCTCTGTTACTCGGACTCCTTCCTCACTCTCACAATGTTTCTGCCCACAGCCACTTGGTCGGATCCGGGCCTTGTTCCCTGCTCCGTTGGCCCAAATCAGTACCCCAATGTTCTTGCCTTCTGCACAAGTTTCATATCCTGGGAGGTCTTCACATGTAAGATTCATTTTCTTTGAAAACGAGGCTGTGAAGGTGGGGGAGCGATGTCAGTAAGGAGGGAGCGGGTTTACAGATGGAGTGTAGGAAAAAACCATTATTTCATCAGCTGAGTTGTTGGCAGCCCCAAATGGGAAGATGTAAGTACTTTTGGCAAGAAACTATTTGAACTTTTATTTCTTCTGGTGTAAAATCTTTTTATTGCATGAAACAGTAGGTAGAATCATGGGATAAAAGGCAAGGAGACCCAGAGGTTTCTTATTGTCTTACTCTTCTGGCCATCCCTCCTCTGTTCTGCAGGCTCCAGCCACCTGTAAGCTGTGTCTCATGTGCCAGAAACTCGTCCAGCCCAGCGAGCTGCACCCAATGGCATGTACCCATGTGTTGCATAAGGAGGTGGGTGCTACATTCCTTCCCCATTTCCCACTCTTTATATTCTGACGACTGAGATAATTTCTCTTGCACATTTTAGTGTTGATGCTCATCATTAATGTGTAAACATAAAGTTTTTAGTACGTTGTGGCTAAAACATCAGCAGAATTCAGAATACTGCAGCTAGGATCCCCTAGCTTCCTTCTATCCTCTTTCCTTTATGGGACTTGAAAAGCAGTTCATACAGAACACAGGTCACTTTCTTCAGAAATTGACCATAAGATATATGTATCTAACTGTTGTTCCAAATATAGCATCATCAGGAGACTTTGCTTAGATGAGAGGAATGGCATAGAGAACCTGGCTATGAGATTAGTAACTCCAGTAACAGAATTGAAGCCTGAAGACCTGCCTATTAGAGATTATCTTTCCAAACGGACAGACTATTTCCATTACTCATTACCAGCAGAGTTAAGTCTCTTGGCAGCAGGGATGATTCCTTTTTCACTATTTTATTTTGTTCATTTTGTTTTAACAAGAGGTAGAAACTGAATTTACATCTAAATTCTTGGTAAGGGAAAATCATGAATAAAATTTTAGGGTGATGTGTATTAGGAGACGGAAGCTCATTTAAGCCTAAATGGATCATAAGAGGGAGCAAGCCTAGCTATTCAACAGAAAGCAGCTTCACACTGTTACTAGTGGATTGTTAATGTGCACTCTATAAGGAACAGGTCCACTAGTCTGAAGATTCTCTTGGGGGTGACTTAGTAAATATTCCTTAGACCCATTGAACCTTAATAGCACTCCCTCTCCTCCTTCCCTCCATCTTTCCAGGTAAACCTGAGGTATGTCTTTCTTTTTTTCCAGTGTATCAAATTCTGGGCCCAGACCAACACAAATGACACTTGTCCCTTTTGTCCAACTCTTAAATGATGGACCTGATTGGGGCATAAGAAGAAGAGAAACTGATGTGAACAGGAAGAGCGGGTTCAAGATTTCTAAAACTCTATATTTATACAGTGACGTATACTCATGCCATGTACATTTTTATTATATAGGTAACGTGTGTATAGAAAGTCTGTATTCAAATGTTCGTAAATGAAGGTATGTATATTATGCAGAAATGGTTTGTCCCCTTCAGCTTGCAATTCCTTTAGGGGGATGCAGATTGTAGCTAAGATGATATTTAGTTTGGCCTTGAAATTATGATATTCCTGCCTAAGGCTGTTTTCAAATACAATATAAAAACCATTAGGAAGCTGCTGTTGCTCTAAGGCTATCCTGCTTTAATTTGGCTCAACCACTAGTCCATTTTCTTAAGGCTCATGTATGCAGATTTGACCCCTGGTGCTCACCTGCTGTCCGACCAGATGCCTTGCTTACTGGAAGCCTCTGGAAGCCTCAGTGTTGTTCTAGCAACTCTCTCCAAATGGATAAAATGAGACTGATTGAGGAAAAAAAAATGTAACCCTAATAGTTTGACTTTTCGTTGAGTATTTTACTGTGTTAATGCTCATTTTTTGTACATAGGCTTTAGGTTTACAGAATACTCTGTTTTACAACAGCAAAATTCACAGTCCAACAATAACACCATAACCAGGTCCAGTTCCCCCACTCCCTCACAAACTTCTGTTTACCTACTTCCTAGATAGTCGTCTCTTCAGAAATTAGCACAACCTAACGGTCTTTTCTGGCAAACTATCCCTTGCTACCACTGACTTGGCCAACCTTATAAAGGCCTTACCTCTTCCCCTTCACTTCTGGTCTCCCAGTCTGGCTAACTCCCTCCCCCTGAAGGTTAAGGCAGTTGGTTCACAACCAAGTTTTTCGGCGACCTTGGATGAGCTCCAGACAGGCACTGGGGTGAGGAGGGGTGTCTGTGCAAAATTATTTTCAGAATGATCTTGGGATGCTGGGGATTTTTTTTGAAGCAAGAAAGCTATAGGGGACATGTTTCCTGCCCTGGGAAAGATGAAGACCCAGGTGTTGTAAAGGGAGATTGGGTTTGATGGTTAGAAGTCCTGTGTTCCATGGGTAGCCATTTGGAACTAGATCATTTTCCACCTCTGCCCTTGAGCACTTCTCGTTTGTACCCAGAAGCTGTGACTCAATTGGAGCTTTGAATCTTTCTCTATCCTTTTATCTTTACTCTTACCAGAAATGGATCCAGTACCCTTCTCTTTTGGAATTAAACAACTAAAAACTAAGTGTGAATTTTAAAGCAGTAGCTCCAGGGGAAGGACATTATTATATCACCAACTGCTGCATTTGTTTTCCATTTAGGACCTAGAAATGCTTGCTCACACTAGCAATACACTAGGGTAGCAAAAACTTTCCCTTGCAGATCCATCTGAATTCTCTCCCCTCTGTTCTTACTCTTTTGCTTCTTTGTCTTTTATTCTTGTTCTCAGCTCATGGACATACTCTTTCTCTTCTCTTGTCTTACAGCCAGTTTACTGACTGGCATAGTGTGAGGAGCTGGATCTCCCAGGGCCTCCTTGACATCTCGTAGGGTCACTGAAATCGCCTAAGTCCACCCATCTATAGAGGTCAGATGACCCACTTTCCTTGGTTAATAGAACATTCATGCTTCCAGTGCAGTAGCTGTCCTGGTAAGGGCATGTGGCAAATGGAAGACCAGCACCTTTGTTCTTTCCATTTGGCAAGGGTTCATTTTTATCTTGTAATCTTAAGATTTTATTTCCCCTCAACTTTCCAGGAGCCCTTGGGCCATCTGCAGTATTTTTCAGTAGGTATAAAGAATATTCTGTTTCTTTTCCATAGATCTTTGGAGCCAAAGGAGAGAAAAAGGAGAGAGTAGGTAGGGGGGTTAACCGCTTCCTAGTAAAAGCCAACTGTAGCAGGAGGACAGTGTTTTGGAGAGTCGTGCATGGGAACTGGGGCCTCATTGCCTCATTGTTGCTCTTTTCTCGTGTTCAGGATCCAGCAGAAAGCGCTGACTTGTTGGCCAGCCTTGTTCTGCCTTCCTCCTGTCCACTGGCCTGCAGTGGTAACAGCCATGCAGACCCTAGTGCAGTGAGGAGAGATGGGACAGTCATTTCTCTGGAGTAGACTTTAAAAATGAAATATAAGACACATACTTTTACAAGCAAGAAGCTGTTGTCAAGATTTTTTTTCTTTACACTTAGAGTTTATAGTTTCAGGGTGGAAAGGAAGTAACTGTAAAAAGAAGCCCACGTTTTCTCTTAAAGGAAAATTGGACAGTGGGACTTAGAGTGACGGGGTTGAGTTTAATGCCCTGGGAAGAGCTGGGAAGGAGCCAGTTTCCCCACATTGGTAGAAATTATAAAGCAGAAAATGGCATTTTAATTTCATGGTAGCAGTTCTGGAAGTTTATTTACACAGTAAGTTCTGAGATGGAAGTGGACAGTCTCCAGTCTTCCTGTCAGTCTCTGTGGTGCTGGGTGTCCCGTCAGCCAAAGCAGCACCAGGTGCAGGGCAATGAAGAGTCCAGATAAAAACTACGACTCAGTGTTCTCAATTTATTGGTGTATGGCTTGTGGGCAGCTGGCTGAGGCCAGGATTCCCAGAGGCCCTCCTTGTAGTCCTCTCCCTCATCAGGAAATTCCACACTCAGGCCCATGCCTGGAAGCAGTGTGTTGACCACATAGGAATAGGACAGTGGGTATATTAGGAAAATTCAGCTCTTCTCACTAACACTGGCATCATAGTCGACTGTGTTAGACCTGATAGAAAATGAACATGGTCCCCAATACTTAGCCCAAGAACCAGCCTGGGTACCCAAATACTATTAGGAGTGGGGAGCAGAGAGCAGGATGGAGAAAAAGGTGGATTCCATTGAGGGGCTCATGATGAAGGAAGTGAGGAAGCTGAGGCCACCATCCTTTCTCCAGGCAGCCTTGATGCTGAAGGCATGATGCTGTAGTCAGCAAGCCCTGTGTTCTGACACTCTGGGATGCCTTAGCCAGATACGTGGAGGGTGTGACATTAGGGTGAGAAGGCAACGGAACGGCTCTGTTTTATAAAGATCTCACTACAGCTTATAGCTGAACAGGAAGAAACCCAGACAGGGGTAAAGGGAATCACCCCGATGCCTGTTGAATGAGCCTTCAGGATTCTGCTTTCGAGGATTATTAGGTAGGAGAGGTCTCCTGGCCCCGTTCATAGCACCTCAGCTGCAGAGCTCCAGAGGATAGGGGTTTGGGGAGGGAGTGCAGAGGTGAGTGGGAAGACGGAGCCCAGCCTGCTCTGTTGCTCTGTTCCCGTTGCTTCCCTCAGAGCGCCTGCAGTTTAGGAGGGTTGGGACCTTTCACTGTTACCAAGCATTTGTAGAGTAAAGTGTTCAGGTAGAGAAGGAATCAATAAGGTAGAAATTCATTTGTTAGACGGAACTTCTTAGTGGACACTTCATTTAAGAGCTAAAAAGAGCACTTTGGCTAAACAAGTGCTTCTTTCCACCTCACTTTTGGTCAGGCTGCAACCACAGCAAAGAGACCACTGGGAAGCAACGCCCATCTTAAGAGATGGGTTCTGTCTAGGAGATGAGTCTAAAACTGGAGCCTGCGGTGGTCATTTCCACCTTTCCTAGTGTTGACTTGTGTTCCCTGTCTTCACACTCCCTCTCCTCTTCTAACTATCCCCTTTGTACAGATATTCAGCCAGATTATTTTTTGTTTAATTCAAGAGGCAGTCTTTGCACCAGTGTTAAGCTCGCTGATACAGTTCCTATGTCTAAAGCAAAAACAAACTGCATTCACTCCGACTGCCTTGGCCAGGGCACCGCAGACACACCGGGATAACCTGGGTGGGACACCCCTACTTCTGGAACTAAGGAAAGAGGAGACTTTGGGTTGGAGGGTTTAGAGGGGGTGGTGGGCAAAGATCAGGGCTGAAGTTTTAAGCAGCAGAATTTCCCAGCTCAAGTTTGAGGTGACAGTGCTCCTGCCACTGCAGCGTGTCTCTTCCCTGCCCTGTTTCTGCAGGTGCAGTCCCTGTAACCCACCTTGCCATCTCCCTTCTCGGTCGAGGCAGAGGCACGTGGTGGGCGGGTAAGGGTCCTGAGGTGCTCTGGCCACAGGTACCATCTGTTTCCTTGTGACCAACCTGAACCCACCACCCAGAGGGTCCAGGGAGTCTCTGTCGTCTGCTCCCGGGCCGCCTCACTTCAGCAGGGAGATGTCATCGGCAAAGTCGTCGTGCTGGCGGCGCAGGCAGCGGAGGCAGCGCCACTGGCACACCATGAGGCAGAGGGGCAGCATGAAGAGGGCGCAGATGGCGGCCATGACGTAGGCTATGGTCATGAGGGTGGACTCGTCTGTCTGCGGGATGTTGTAGCCACAGTCTTCCATGTCCAGGGTGACAAAGGGGCCCTCCACGGCTGCCGTCCTGAACTCATCGTGCACTGGAGAAAGGGCAGATGTGAGAGGGCAGGTCTCGGTGCCATAGAGCAGGTTGGATCACTCAAAAAAAGGACTTCCTGATAGGCCTGGGAATCAGCCCCAGGGGGCCATAGAAAGCCAGTGCTAGGTGGGCGCATCTCCTCCCGGGTCCTGGGGAGCGACAGCCTTTTCCTATATAGCTGTCTCGTAGGAATGACACCTAAGAGTCAGTTCTGAGTTGACTGAAAGGCCAGCCCCGTAGATACCTAGTAGCCTCACCTGCCACTGCTGAAATGGAGCCACAAGACCCTGCTGCCATCTTTTCTTTTTTGTTAATCCTCACCTGAGGCTATTTTTTCCATTGAGTTTTTTAGAGAGTAAGGAGTGGGAAGGAGAGAGAGAGAGAGAAACATCGATGTGAGGGACACATCGATTGGCCTCTGCCTCCCACAGGCACCCCATCTGGGGCTGGGAATCAAGCCTGTGATTCTTTGGTGTGTGGGCTGACGCTCTAACCACTGAGCCGCACTGGCCAGGGCACCTGCTACCATTCTAAAGTGGCATTCAACCTCACCATCCAGCAGGTGGCAGGGTCACTGTGGGCTCTGCCAGTCCCCTTGAATCTCAGCTTCCCAAGGTGCTCGACAGCACTTGGCTGCCCTGGCTGCCCTGGGTGCCCATGCAGGTGGGGTCGCCACGCCAGGCACTGGAAGGAAAGCACAGGCACGGACTCTGGCTTGAGGCCACTGCTCCCACCTCCCTGACTGATGGGCCCCGGTCTGACTCTGACGACTGCTGGACAGGGAGAACACGTATAGACCCCCGCCCGGGCGTGCTCACCGTGGCAAGCGCTGACAGCAAAGCCAATCCGTTTTCTTGCCCGATCAAAGACAACATAGAAGCCCTCCATGATAACAGCTCCCATGACAGTGCCCGTGGATGACTGTGAGATGGCGAACTTGTAACAGTCGTCCTGGGACGTGGCTACGTCTTCCACTGGCCGCAGGTATTGCTAAGGATAAGGAATCGGAGAGTCAGTCTTCTCTTCCTCACTCCACCCTTCACCCATCTCTGCCTTCTAGGTGTCTGTGTCCTCAGGCCGCTCTTTTAGTCACCCCTGAGCTTGGAGGGTAGCTTTTTCCAAGAGCCCTTTACCACTGGACACTCATCTGTTTTGTCTTCCAAGTTCTGGGAGCCATGCCTGCTGACTGTCTCCCAATGTGCACTGTCTTCCCGGGATCCCACTGACTAGGGTTAGGGACGTACCTGTGGAAGAATGGTGATGCGGAAGGACTGATTGGTGACCTCACTCATTAGGTAGAGTGAGATGACTGGGAAAATGTTCCAAGGGGTGGTGCCTGCTTGCCAGCATACCAGCTGCTCCCCTAGCCAAAAGCCGTCGGGGAACTTCTCCGTCTGTGTCGGTCAGAAAGGGAGAGCAGTGAGGAAACGGCCTCTGTCACCACCTTGCCTCTTCCATTTCCAGGTAACAGTGGGCCCTTTATTTGCTTTTCCTGCAACATCCAAACTGGGGAAAGGTAAATCAAAACCCAATAATTAAAGGAAGAGACCAGGAGAGTGAGGCCAAAACTTTGTACGGGGGGATTGTGTGATTAGCAAACGCTCAGGAAAGCTTTCTCAGGAGAAGGGCCTAAGGGGAGACACGGGCTCTTAAAGAACGGGAGTGGGGGCGGACGCCCTCTGACTCCAGTCCTCTCTGTACCCCTGACTTAGTCCCACTGACCGAGGAGGCTGCCTTGATGGATTTGACTGCAGCTTCAAACACTTTCTTGGGCAAACGAAGGTTGGTGGTGCCGCTGTCCACGATGCTCTTATCATAGTTGTACTGAGAGGAGAAGAGAGGGTTAGAATTGTCAGGAGCTGTTGTGATGATGCTCCGGCCAGAGCCTGGGGGTTAGTCTGCCTGGGTTGGCATCCAGGCTTTACCACTTCTTAGGTGAGTATCCTTGGGAAAGTTACTTAACTTCGGTGCCTCGGTTTCTGCAGCTTACAGGATGATACTAGTACCTACCTCATGGAGTTATAAGGATTAAATGAATTAATACTTTCAAAGTGCTTAAAGTGGTGTCCGGCACATAGGAAGCATTCAGTAAGTGTTAACTCTTACTATCTTGGGTGAAAAGATGTTCCCCAAATCTTGAAAATAGAAATAGCTCATATAATGGTTTTAACTTTCCATAATACTTTTATACCTATTCTAATTTAGCATCCATTCAGAACCTGAGTAAGGAGGACAGGCGGGTTAGCTGCTGTTTATTGGTACTGCTATGTGCTGGGCACTAGGATGGCACAGTTCATGCTCCCTCCACCAACGTCTTCGGGACGCTGTTCTTGCCTTTTGCAGATGAGGAAACTGAAATACGATAGTGACTTGCCTAAGGGCAGGTGGCTAGTACATGGCAGAGCCACAAACCCTGGGCTTCCTGGCTCCAAAGCTGGACTCCGTACAGCATCAGATTACACCGCCTTACAAACAAGTTGCCCAAGGCCATAAAGCAAGGCCGGACGGGTCATTGCTAGGCCATACCTCGGGTCATTGCTAGGCCATACCTTGAGGAGTCCCTGTGAAAGCGCCCTGCCAGTCCCGCTCCAAATCCCAGGTCCTGCTGTGCGACCCTTGTGCTCCCGACTGTTCTAGGTTCAGCCCCGAGCCTTCCTGCAGGTCCTGCACCTCTGCCTTGTCCTCCCAACCTCATAACCAGGGTCTGGCCTCACACTGTGGCTGCCCCCTTCCCTCTCCCTGGTGTCCCCTTGGTTTTATTACCTCCTTGCAGTCCATTCTCAGATCCTGTCCATTGATCTCCACTCGCACGATGATCACCTCATAATACCACTCCCGCCTGATGGGTGTGTACCAGAGGCTGCCCGTGTACAGCGAGTGGTCGATACCCCCAATGATCTAGGGAGAAAAGAGGCAGGTACCCGAGTCCCAGCAGGGGTGGACTGCAAGCCTGCCTGAGAGCAAGCGGAGGACCAGCGATTTCCCGGAGTGGCCAGGCCCTCTACAGACCACCTCACCTGCTGCTAATCTAACCACTCCCGGAGTAACTTACAGTTTCTTAAAGTGTACTGAGTGTGTTCAGGGGAAGAGACTTTCCAGGATTTTTAATAATTTGTTTCAGATTTACAAAGTCCTTGAGATGTTATTTAAACCTAAACTGGCGCAATAAATGTTGGATGAGTGATAATCTGCTTCTGTAGTTTATTTCCTCTGCTTGTTGGAGAGCCATTCACCAGTTGTCCTAATTAAGTAATAAGTACACTTTTAAACTTCTTACACCTCTGTCTTCTGAGGATGGGACTGAATGATCTTACTCGAGCAGGTCCCATTTTCCTTTCCTTTGAATCCCAGTCCTCGCTGGTCCTTCCCAGGCTTACATAGGTGGCTTGAGTACTTTCTGGGGTAATGCCAGGAGGAGAGGATGGAGGATGGACAAGGAGGGGGGTGGGGAATGTAGAGATACTAAACAGTGGAGCCCAAGACTGCTTTAGAGGAGGGAGTGGGGCAGGTGACACCCGTCTCTGCCCAGTGCCAGGACCTCCCCTCCCAGGACCTACTCACCATGCTCCCTCCAACTGAGGCCGGCACTTCTGACTGGTTGAGAGGGAAGCCGGCGCCACACAGCTGCAGTGAGAAGAGGTTGGGAACGTGGGTCTGCTTTACCAGGGAGTCAAAGAAAGGCTCCAGGGAGTCGTCAGGCTGTGGCAGAGAGACACGAGTGAGTCCTCATGCAGGACCCTCAGGGCCTGGGGCCAGCTTCCTCACACAGCGTGCAAACGGGAAAGCACTGAGGGCCCACAGACCTATCAGAGCTTTGACCCCCGAGTGCCTCACCTGTTTCGGATTCACGGGGCCCTCTTTTCTTACAGATCTGAGTCAGTAGAAAGCACAGCCGGCTCTACCAACCACAGCGTCTCTTGCTGTAGTTCTGCCCTTGACAGGGATGAACTTCAGACTGCCTTTCAACTGATGTTTCCCTCCCTTAGGAAGTACCCTCCCCTCCTCTTTCCCCACTCCGCCCCTGCGTGGCGTGATGTGCAGGCACTGTCTAGCGCTAGGCCTGCTCCGCTCACCCTGGCGATCTCAGCATAGGCCAGCCCCAGGATGCCTTCCCAGTTGGAGCCATTGATGAAGAACTTGTCTGACTCCGTGATGGCAGCAATGTTGGCACGTACAGTGACATTGGGGCCATGGGGGATGCTCACCAGGTCGGTGCCCAGCTCTCCCTCCCACTTGCCCTGGGTGTAGGGCACATACACGCCCTTGTGGAGGTCCCGGTACGTGCTGGACCTGTGGAAATGGAGGCAGAGAGCCATGGATGCATAACCACAACTGGTATAGGGATCCAGCGTCCAAACAACTCCCAAATGCCCAGCCTCATCTCAGGCGGTCTAGGTAAGTAAGATGCTTTCAGCTGCACAATGCTCTCTAGGGAGACCAACTACCCAGGACGGAATGTAAAGTGACCTGGCAAACAGAAGAGGGGCCACTGCCGGGGCCCACTCTCCTGTCTCCATTGCCCCTGGGTCTCAAGCTCAGGCCCTGGAAGAACAAGCGTCTGCTTTGTGTATTGTACTGGTTGCTGCTGTAGGGACAGTTAGTGGCATCTCTTCCCCACACCACCCCCAGCTCCATCAAGCTCCCAGAGAAAAGGAGTCATTGATTCTCCTGCTGCCTTGGGATCCAGTGGTGCCATCTTAGCGGTAGACAAAGCGCCAGCGGGGTGAGCGGGGAGCCCCTACAGCAAGTTCTTCCAGAGGGGCCTGCACAGCATCTCGGCAGAGCTCAGGGTGTTCACACCACCTGTGCAAAACATGCCTGGCAAACCACCTGCGTCTAACCACACCACTGACCAGGGCTTGTGTGGTGTGATGGGGGACAGGGACAGGACTGGGACGAGGACCTGCAACGAATTCCCTTTGTGGTTCCGGGCACGCCCGCCCCGACAGCTTCCTGCAGGTGGGAAGCTGGAGGGAGGCAGCCGCAGAAGGCAGCACTGGGGAACGTGGCCTTGGCATCTTCCTGGAGGTCCCAGATTGGGAGTTAAGCCTCCGTTCACAGGTTTTCACACAGATGCCTCAGACATCAGATGTTCTCACGCCACTGCTTTTATGCGAAGGGTGCTCCCAGGTGATCCCTCGCTGCCTCTTACCTTAAAAACCCACTTTGACCCTCCCTTCCACCCGCTAGCTAATCCAGCTGCTGGAGCTCTGGGGATGTGGGAGGAGACATTTCAGCTCACGGTCCCTGATGCTGGTCCAGGCAGTGGGGTTTCCGGAGGCTCTTTCTTCACCCCCGAGAACTGTGCGGAGCCACCGAGGGTGACCCCTGGTAAGAACACAGCAGCGAGCTCCCTGCAGCCTGCTCATCCTAGAGGTGGTTGGTGGTGTCTCAAAACCGAGAGCCACTGAGGGGGTGCGGAACGATTCCTGGCCCCCCACTCAGGAAGAGGAATGGACCCTGTGGTCGCTCTGGGAACGCTGGGGCTGCTCTCCTCCCTCACTTCCCCGCCCCGGGAGGCTGCCTGGCGCCCAGTTCCGAAGAACTTCCTGGCTGTCTCTCAACTTACCCTTTCCCGCAGTGCCCCTCAAATCCACCCCTACCCCACTCTTCTGTCCTGGTCACTGTTCGTTTCCCTTCCCTGTCCCCGGCAGGAGGAAGGGATCTGAGGACCCAGTCTCTCCACAGCCCCCTTTTCCCGGCCCCTCCTTGGCCCTGTACCCTTGGGAAGTGCCCTGCCCCGGCTCTCCCCAGACTCACAGCTGCCTCTGGTAGTAGCGGTGCAGGAAGGGGTGGGGGGCAGCCCCCACGGCGAAGTTGCTGCTGCCGGTGTCCACCAGGATGTTGAGCTGCCAGAGAAAGAGGAGAGAGCGGCGTTACTGCCACGGGGCTCTTCGCCCCACCGGCCTCACAGCCTCCCTTCGGAGTGTCCACAGCGACACGTCCACGAGGCAGGACGGGACACGTGGCAGCCACAGACAACATGGGGTCCTGTGGCATCCTCAGCACGGCCTCAGAAACCCGTGTCTGCTCTGCCTTCACTGGAGAATCATGACATCTTCTGTCACGAGAGCCACATTATCTGTGTGGGGTGTGCCTCAATCCCTGTCTCTCTCGCATTGCCCTACCTACTGTGTGCACCTGTCCCCTCTGGCTGCAGAGCTTGCCCTTCCCTCCTTTCCTGCCTCTCTGAGGAAGCACATCCCCAGCAGGCGGCCTGGCTTGGCCCCTCCAGCTCAGAGGAGCTGTCTGGGAGCTGGCACCGGCGAGGGGGCTGAGGGGACAGCCATGGCACGGTGACGCCCATGTGTTCCTGATCCTGCCTGCCAGACGCGGCCCCACGAAGGGCTCCTCTTCTGTCTCAGGTGACAGACCTGAGTCCCACTGTGAGAAACAGTGCGGAGCGGGAGCCCAGTAGGATGCCATCTCACGGGGGCCCTGGTTTTTGGCCGGATGAATACGGACAGGTGTCTTTGGCGCTCCCGGCTGGGCGGCCCCTTCTAGCATCTCTTCGACCTGCCCCTCCTTCCTCCCCTGCCCGCCTTCCCCGAGTCCTGCCTGCTGGGCTGCCTCCCCCGTAACTTCCCGGCCAGAGGAAGGGCCGGCCCAGAGCTGGGTTTGAAGCTGTTTTTTGAATGCCTACTGTATCCTCACAGGCAGAAAGAGGGAAGGCCCTGTCCTCAGAAACACTGCCTTCCGAAAAGTGAGTCCTCTCTTGCCAACTTGCCGTGTCCACCGACCTCGGCTCCTCCCCGACCTCAGGGCCCTGCATTTTTCATCGTCTCTCCTCAGTGCAGTGAAGCCNACTGCCTTCCGAAAAGTGAGTCCTCTCTTGCCAACTTGCCGTGTCCACCGACCTCGGCTCCTCCCTGACCTCAGGGCCCTGCATTTTTCATCATCTCTCCTCAGTGCAGTGAAGCCGGCTGCCCCGGGTTTGGTGCAGGCTCTGACCTTGTCACCCTGGGCAGGTCGCCGTGCTTCCCGGGCTCCAGTTTCCTCCTCTCTGCCACTCCTTCCCGCTCGCCTGCTCCTCTGTGGCGCTGCTGACTGCACCTCCCCCAAGCCTGCTCCGTCTCCTGGCCTCCGCTGGTCCCCAGGCCTCTGACCTTGCTGGTCACCCTTCCCGGGCCTCCACTCCGGGCCTGGTTCCCATCTATCTCCCTCTCTGTCCTCTTCCCTGACTTCTCCCCTGTCCCTCCCCCTGGTCTCTGAGCAGCCCCAGCCCCAGAGGCTGTGCTCTGAGAGGATCAATAACCCAGAGGCCCAGCAGCTCAGATTCAATCGCCAGGTTAATGATTAAAATGGCTTCTCACCTACCCCCACCCCCCACCTGCCAGGACGCTGCTCCCAGCACCAGGCCAACCTCAGACTGGTGGGGATCCCTGCTTTCGTGGGACTCCAAAGAAAGAGGGTGTCGTCCACAACTCGGTCCCCTTGGCGGTGCAGGGGAGAGAGGCCTGGAACGCGGCCATGTGTTATGGGCAATGGAGTGTTTATCTGGGGGCTCCGTGTCCCCAGTGTTCCAGACCCTATTCCTTCCCAGTCCTGGGGTGGGGGGAGGCTCTCTCTGCAGGCCACCCCCTTCCCTGCCAGGAGGCCCAGTCATTCTTGCTGGCTTTCCAGTCCCAGCCCTTCTGGTCTGAGGACGGTCTCCCCCTTTCACCACAAATGGGGTCAAGCCAAGACAGGAATGATTCCGGCACTCCCCCACCATGAGGCCCATACCAGGAGTTCAGGCCACCACTGCTCTGTCACCTTCCCTTCTCCATTTCACAAGAAAATGGGAAACCAAAATAAATAGTTGCCATTTCCTCTTGGGCAAATGTCTGACGGCTGTCTGCCCTTTGCAGTGTGGTTCTGCTTCTGAGAGAGTGCTTTCTGGTCCTGTCCTTAAGCATCTCTAGCAAAGCCCCCTGGGCAGCTTCCCAAGAGACCTCTTAAGGGGCAGGCCCGACAGCAACAGGGCCACCACACCCACCAGGAAACAGGGCAGTGGGGATGGCCTAAGAGGAAAACAGCCATGAAAGGGTTGCCTGCCACCAAGCCTTCTCTGCAGACACCCTCACCAAAGGAGGCCAGCAGGTAGGACCTTCCACATCTCCCACAGCCAGTCCTTGCAACCTGCCTGCCTGCCAGTCCCCTCTCAGCTGGCCCTCCTCCTGGCTCCAGAGCAGACTCCCTCCTTCCTTCTCAGACACCCTCCACTATTAATTATCCCAGCCCCTCAGGTCTTCAACCCCCAGGCCAGTCCCTGACCCCGACTCCCACCCCCAAATCTCAAGTCTCCCTATGGGCATTTACAAATGCTTTGGTCTAGTTACTTTTTTAGGAAAAACTTTGAAATCTCACACCCCCCTCCAGCTACCCTCTCTCTCCTCTCCCTTCACAACCGAGGTCCTCAGCCAAGCTGTCTGCATTTCATCGCCTCCCCTCCTTCCTCAGCCCATTCTAAAATTTTGCCTCTATCCCTCCCTCCACTGTGGAACAGCCCTTACTACAGTCACCGATGATGTCGTGTCACCAAATGCAGAAGACAGTTTTTAAATCCGGTCTCGCACCGACTTCTCCAGAGCAGTCAGCACGCTGACCTCACCTCCTTCACACACTGCCCTGTGCCCCCAAAATCATCTCGCCCCTGGCTGTGATGTGTCCCTCGCCTCTGTGCCAATGCCTCCTAAGTGTATAGCTCTAGCCCTCCGCCCCACTCTTTTGAGCTCCAGAAGCCCATATCAAACTGCCTTACAGATACCTCAAATTTAGGATGTCCAAAGCTGACCACACACGGTCCTGCCCACTGTGCTTCCCAGTGTTCCCCGTATGGTACCCCAACCATCTGCTCCACAGTCAGCAACTTCAAAGGCCTCCTAGCACCGTCCTTTCTTCACATTTTTGCAAGTCCTGCCCAGTTAACTGTCTTTAAAGCCTCTTGAACTTGTTCATTTCTTGCCATCTCCTCTGCCGCCCCCAAGCCAAGCGATCACCATTTCATCCTGGAAGATGACTGCTCAGGGCACACCCACCACCCTCACCTCTCCAACCTGGTTTTGCGCTGTGGCTAGAGTGATCTTTTCAAGGTGCAAATTTGACCAGGCTAACCCTCCTGCGTCAATGGTGTCCCTTTGCTGTTAAAAGTAAAGCTTAAAGCACTAGCATTTCCAACTCTTTCAGGATCCAGCCCTGCCTACATATCCGGCCCTGCGTGTCCCATTCCCCCCAAACCCTCTGCCTACTTGCCCCCCTGGCCTCGTTTCAGGTCCTCAAGCCATCCTTTCCACTTGCAGTTTTGTCTATTCACCTCCTGTCATCCAACAGTCTGTCTCTAAAGGGACATTCTTTTCTCTTGCTAACCTGCGTCCACAAAGCTTGGCACTCTAATTTCACAGTGACTCTCACCTCCCTTGTATCTAATTTTAAAAAATCCCCATTGCGCCCGGCTGGGCGTGGCTCAGCGGTTGAGCATTGACCTGGGATCCAGGCGATCAGGGTTCGATTCCTGGTCAGGGCACATGCCCGGGTTGCGGGCTCAACCAATGAATCTCTCATCATTGATGTTTCTATCTCTCTCTCCCTCTCCTTTCTTCTCTCTGAAATCAATAAAGATATATT